GTTAGGCGGGCTGGGCATGGGTGTGCCGGCCTCTCTTAGGAGGCCGCTGCATTCACTGCAAGCCATAGCCCAACGCAGGTCAGCGATCGCTCTGTGTCCGGACTGCAGTTCTATTCAGCACTTTGTTGCTAGGGCTACTGGTGGTCCTAGCAACCATTGACAAGTGTGACCATCACGTCCTCCTCCATCCTGCCCTGAAGCTCCTGCCGTGCTCTATTGAAATGTAGAAATGGTATCGGGTAGCAGGGTTTGGCATGTGCCGGCCACTCGTAGGAGGCCGGTGCATTCACTGCAAGCCATAGCCCAACGCAGGCCGCTGGTGGTCTTAACCAGTGACAAGTGCAGCCATTACATCCTCCTCCATCCTCTCCTGCAGCTCCTGCCATGGTCTGTTAAAAAGAAAGAAGTTAAAATGGTATCTGGGGGGGGGGTGACGCGTTTCGGAAAGGCCTCCCCCTTCCTCAGTGCCTATGATCTAATAAGACCATCCGGACTCAGGAAGAGACTTTGGTTCAGTATTGGGTGGCGGTTGGACACTTTTACTTTATCGCAGAGCTCTGCGGGGTGTTTTATATCCACTTCAGTATAGGAATCTGTAGAGATAAAATCCGCGCCAATTGTAGCGGTTTCATTGGCCGCGGCAACAATAACCAATCGGATTGTTCCTGCCAGTAACGCAGCTACAACTGATCACCAGTCCCCCTCCCCCCACCCCGAAAACATGTCCTAAAAATGTAACTGTTGGAGGAAATAAAGAGAATGTGACGCACGGAACTCGCCAAATCCGGAGCCGATCCATTTCAGCCTTCAGAGACGTTGTATCGTTGTCTTCATCTGGCGAAGTGCGTTGTGGTGCCTAATGTCTCCGCATGTCACCGAAGATGGATTTCTCGGCGCGTACCGGGGGAATTAAACATAAATCGTCCCCCGTTTCCGCGCTCCTGCCTCTGACTAATTGTGACTTTCATTATTCTGACTGTAATATCTTTATACGTCTCCTCAAAGCAAATAAAGAGAAATTTGCATTTTGATGACTGTCATTATGTAACGTCGTGTTCGGTGACAGTCGGGAAATTGGCTTACGCTCAAACGGCGTCATAATTGACTACCGGAAATTGACATTCCTCAGAAACGTTTATTAGTCAATAAAGTTAATCAGAGCGGCGCGGAAGCCCCCCCCCTACCCCCCCGCAGGCTGTCGGCTGGTGCTGCGCCGCGAGCGTGGAAGATTGGGGGGCCCCGCGTCTGGACGAAGATTGCATGAAGGGGGCGAGACAATTGTTACAAACGTAAAGTGGGCTTCTCCAGAACACAGCCATGGCGACAGGGTCACATGGGCTCATGAAAGGGCGGGATCTGTGTCCAGGCAGAGCCCCTGATTGGCTGACTCTGTCTGATGATGAAGCTATTCTGAGTTATAAGGTAACAGAGATCTTGTGTCTGCCCTTCAAGTGGACCTGTCACCAGATATATTCTTCCATGTTAAGTAGTGTATAAGTTTAACACTTCCAGGTATTTATTACCTACGCAGTCCTCCCCCCGACAATTCCTTCATCTGCTTTTCTCTCTAGAAGGATGGCGCCGTTCAGGCATCATCCAGGGTCACCATCTACTTCCTGGACTGAGATGTTGGCTCAGAGATGACCCAGTCTAACCCTAAATCCTGGTGCCAGTTCAGAAATGCCTGACACAGATCAGCCCCCGCTACAGCCTCTCACCTTGTGATTTGCTATAGCTTTGCAGTCTAATCACTGGAGGAAGGGGAGATTGAGGAAATGCTTCCTTCTGCCTGCAGTAGACTGATCACTGGGGGAGGAGAGACCGAGGAAATGCTTCCTCCTGCCTGCAGTACACTGATCACTAGGGGAGGGGAGACCGAGGGAATGCTTCCACCTGCCTGCAGTAGACTGATCACTGGGGGAGGGGAGACTGAGGAAATGCTTCCTCCTGCCTGCAGTACACTGATCACTAGGGGAGGGGAGACAGAGGGAATGCTTCCTCCTGCCTGTAGCAGACTGATCACTGGGAGAGGGGACTGAGGAAATGCTTCCTCCTGCCTGCAGTACACTGATCACTAGGGGAGGGGAGACCGAGGGAATGCTTCCACCTGCCTGCAGTAGACTGATCACTGGGGGAGGGGAGACTGAGGAAATGCTTCCTCCTGCCTGCAGCAGACTGATGACATCATCTCAGCCTAGGCAAAGCCAGAGACTGGAGCTCAGGGACGGCTATTTCATGATAACAGTTGTAACCTTCCAGGAAAATGATACATTCTCTGTATATTGTAACATGTTAGGAATTATTGTTGCGGACTTGTAGTCACTGGCAGGTTCAGATTCCACATCATAAAATGTGACAGGTTCCCTTTTACCCCGACTTCCCCCCACAAGGTCTGACCGAGGTCTCTCTCTTTTTTTTTTCTCCCTCAGGTTGTGCGGGGATCCGCCGTTCATGGCGAGCTCGGAGGGGGAACTTTTCAAGCTCATAAAGAAAGGAAAGTTAAACTTTTCGCCCGCGGTGTGGCAGAGTGTTAGCGACGCGGGTAAGTGGCCCCGCAGCAGCCGAGGGACGCTTGTTTACGTTGGTTTTAAGGACAGGCGCAGCGTGCGACCCCGAAAAAGGGGCTTTTAATAGCCGTCGGGATCTGAGCGCCGGACTTGCGCTCCAGGGAAAAGCAGGCGCGGGGAAATAAAAGGCCTTTTACCAGCCGACACGCCGGGGCAGAAGGCGCTATTGTTCGGCGTACATGAAAGCGTACTTTAGAAAAGGTTTTGGTATTGATCGATCACATTAGTCTTTTGTCTTTACAATAAAGAGCCGCGCCGTTCATTTCTTATCTCATATCATAGAGAGGAAATGTCACGGCTTTAATGCAACAAACAAGCCCTTCCGAGGGGGATTGCGGCGACCTTTCCCTCTTAAGTGCATTGAAAGTTCTCTGACATCAGGAAACATTTCTCCGCTCTTTACATTGTAACAGAAAATACATTTTCTGTGTTTTTTTTATTTTTAAACTTGTAGTTTACCTTCCGTCGCCTCCAATCAGTATCAGCGGTACGGTTCCGGGCGTCCTCCTCGCTGCACGAGGGTGACCCGAGGCAACACATAAAATCAACTCTGCAGAAGTAAAGTCGCAAAGTTTTTAGCGCTGACCCGACTTTTCTGTAATCCATTTAAATGTATCCGCTGCCTCCTGTCGTATGATTCCGTTTTACGTGTCGGTGACACAATGGGACCATGGACCGGGGAGCACAATGGCTGCACTGTTTCAGAATTTTGGGTGAAAGGACTTGTAGTGAGAGTTTGACATGAACCCATATATTTTATATTGATATCACTTAGATTAAACACAATCCTTAATATTATTATAGTCGGGTTACTGAAAGTTTTAGCCTTGCAGAACGTTTCACACATGATAGATACATTTAGGAGGAATTCTCTACTTTCATATTAGCAATGTATTGTAGAGAATAATGAGTCCATGTAGAAGATTTAGTCCTTATAGGGGAGGTAACAAGGGTTCATGTAGAAGATTTAGTCCTTATAAGGGATGTAACAAGGGTTCATGTAGCACATTTTTTCCTTATAGGTGCGGGTAATAAGGGTTCATGTAGAAGATTTAGTCCTTATAGGGGAAGTAACAAGGGTTCATGTAGAGGATTTAGTCCTTATAGGGGAGGTAACAAGGGTTCATGTAGAAGATTTAGTCCTTATAGGGGAGGTAACAAGGGTTCATATGGAAGATTTAGTCCTTATAGGGGAGGTAACAAGGGTTCATGTAGAAGATTTAGTCCTTATAGGGGAGGTAACAAGGGTTCATATGGAAGATTTAGTCCTTATAGGGGAGGTAACAAGGGTTCATGTAGAAGATTTAGTCCTTATAGGGGAAGTAACAAGGGTTCATATGGAAGATTTAGTCCTTATAGTGGGAGGTAAACAGGGTTCATGTAGAAGATTTAGTCCTTATAGGGGGAGGTAACAAGGGTTCATGTAGAAGATTTAGTCCTTATAGGGTGAGGTAACAAGGGTTAATGTCAAATATTTAGTCCTTATAGGGGAGGTAACAAGGGTTCATGTAGAGGATTTAGTCCTTATAGGGGAGGTAACAAGGGTTCATGTAGAAGATTTAATCCTTATAGTGGAAGTAACAAGGGTTCATGTAGAAGATTTAGTTTTTTTATAGGGGAGGTAACAAGGGTTCATGTAGAAGATTTAGTCCTTATAGGGTGAGGTAACAAGGGTTAATGTCAAATATTTAGTCCTTATAGGGGAGGTAACAAGGGTTCATGTAGAGGATTTAGTCCTTATAGGGGAGGTAACAAGGGTTCATGTAGAAGATTTAATCCTTATAGTGGAAGTAACAAGGGTTCATGTAGAAGATTTAGTTTTTTTATAGGGGAGGTAACAAGGGTTCATGTAGAAGATTTAGTCCTTATAGGGGAGGTAACAAGGGTTCATATGGAAGATTTAGTCCTTATAGGGGGAGGTAACAAGGGTTCATGTAGAAGATTTAGTCCTTATAGGGGGAGGTAACAAGGGTTCATGTAGAAGATTTACTCCTTATAGAGGGAGGTAACAAGGGTTCATGTAGGACATTAGGGCCTTGTAGGCTGAGGTAACAAGAGTTCATGTAGAGGATTTAGTCCTTGTAGGCTGAGGTAACAAGGGTTCAATGACAAAAAAAAATCATAGACATGTTTTCTGACCATGGCTTGAGGAACAATAGGTCCAACGCCAAGACAGCCATCCTCTAACCTTGCTGTGAGGGAGACAAGAAGACCCATCTAATGTTCTTGGCACCATCTAGTATGAGTACAGGGGGCATTATTATCTGATATTTGGAAATCATTCAAGGTAACTCAGATGGTTCTATTGTTCAAATCCCTATAAAAAGGGGCCTGCAAGCCCATATTTGAACGTGCCTGAGTAGCTGCTTGTTCCCGGGCGGCCGAATGAACCCTCTTCTCTAAGATCTGCCTGGTATCGGTTCTACTTCAGACTGAAGAGATTTTGGTTTTCATGAAAAGGGAGGGGGGCACAATCTCTAACAGCATACAAGTGATCGGGCGGCTCTACAGCCACCTAATCACTGTATGTGAAAAAGCCGACAGACACCTGAAAAGAACGGTACCAAGAACCTGGCTGCAGCAGCTGTGATCTCGCTATAAGTCCTTCAGCACAAAGCTGTTTTTATACAAATTGTAGTCCTGACATTAATATTGGAACAGACCATCCAATTTACTTTCTTCTTTCAGCCAAAGAGGTTCTGCAGAAGCTCCTGAGAGTGGATCCCGCAGACCGGATCACGGCTAACGAGTTACTTGACGACCCCTGGATCACGGTAGGTCAATATGACTTCATGGTCATCTACCTCTCATGGTCCTATAGTGATTTGCAGCTCATTATGGGAGAGCCGAGTACGGCCTGAGCCCTTATCAGAAATGAGCTGTGGCTGTTGTAAGCTGGGGTGCTGCCATAGAGATCCCCGCCGCTCCGCAAGTATTTATGGTCCCAGGATGACACGTCAGGGATTCCACGCACGGCATTCTATGGCGAAGTAGAAAAAGACCTGAATTCCTCATTCACAAACGTTGACATTGTAATTCTTTCATTTCTTAGGGGAAAACGAGCACAATTCAGCGCCCCGGCAACGTCTTAGAGATGATGAAGACCTGGAGGAACAGCCTGGAGAGCGACGACCATGTCGATGGCGACTCTGACGGCTTGTTACCGGTCCAGAGAATTCCGCTGGACTTAGGGGAAGATCGCGCCAGTCCGGCCAGCAGCAACGGAACCTCCGAGACCGACAGCAGCAACAGCAAACCGTCTACGCCAACGAAACCGGTATATAGAGCGCGCCGCCCTCTTCTGTCCTCTCGGTGATGTTGTCACCCCGAAAATGTGCATAACATTAATGGGACCATCTAATGTCCCCCCACAGTCACATCAGACTCTGTACAGAGGAGCTTACACTCTAATGTCCCCTCCCCCCACAGTCACATCAGTCTCTGTACAGAGGAGCTGACACTCTAATGTAAGACTTGAACAGTCTAGGACCATGTAGTCAGAAGTGGATGAATCTCCCAGAAAGTTCTGGAAGAAAGCAGGAGCTTTGGGAAGAAAGTTATAACAAATCTGGTGACCTGATACAGCCCGGGTGGAAAGTGAAACCAGGACCCCAGCGCTGTAAGGTCACACCAGAGATGCAGAACATCATCGTGATTGGTTGTACGATTACTCAGAGACGCATTCGTTGTAATCCTTCGTATCCGCGTCTGTTACATTCATTCTGTTTTATTGTCTCCATATTCATACATTTGTTTTATGAAGCTGGAGCGGTTTGGCCCCGAAACGCGTTAAATCAATTACCATTTGTTCTGGCACTCCTCCTGTACTGTGTACACTGCGGGTCACGTTATGGGTACCCTTTGGGGGGGGGGCAGTGGCGTCACAAGGGGGGTGCGGCCCTGATCCTGAGAGCTTACAATCTAAAGGGAGGGACAAATGATACAAAAGGTGATAGCTGTGGGGAGAAGAGTTGTGGGACTTCCCTGAAGTGATGTATCTGGATAGGTTGGGGTAGGGAGTGCCAGAGACTCTGGGGAAGTCCTAAAGAGTGGCATGGGAGCAGTGGCGTCACAAGGGGGGTGCGGCACCATTGGAGGGGTGACACCAAAATGACTCAGTCATTTTGGTGTCACCCCCCCTACCCGGCACCTCTTGGATATGTCCTTCAGAGCTGATCCTGGAAAGTCGGTGGGACTCCGGCTACAGTGATGGCGGCATTTGCAGCTGGTGTTGCCCCATGATGGCGGCATGGTTTTTTGGGTTGGGCAGAAGCAATCGGATGTCACATGAAGAAACCTCCTACATGTTTTGTGGTGATTCCGTGTCCTGTCTGCAGTCTGTCGGTTGGGCCCTTCAATGTCCTCTTCATCCCGGTATTTATCTGCCCCCCCCTCCCCCCACTTTTTTTAAATGTCTTCTTGGTCTTGTTTGCCCCCAACGCTCCGCCTGCCTGTCATACAAACATGTACGTGCAGAACTGGCTTTATTGGTACCAGGGAGGTCAGACAGACATGCGCTCTCTTGTCAGATGTGATTCTACCCCACCGATACATACATATATCATGGACCAGCGATGGCCAAACTGCGGCCCTCCAGCTGTGGGGTGGAACTACGAATCCCATGAGGCATTGCAAGATTCTCACAGCCACAGACACGACTCCCGCAGAGAGATGCTTCATGGGATTTGTAGTTTCACCCACAGCTGGAGGGCCGGAGTTTGGCCATCCCTCTCATAGACCTATTGGGTGAAACGCGTCATAGGGAGGAGTCGTAGTAGCATTTGAAGTTGCTCCCTCTGTTATTGTTACAGCAGCATTGCATTCCACATTGTGGGTCTGTCATTCGGTGATGTGAATTCCGTGCAGTTTGCACTTCATGGGACTATTGTGTCTGTTTTTCAGGCCGGCAAAAAGAAAATGTCGCCTTGTCCTTTGCCCAACGGAACCCCTGTGAAGAAGAACTCTGGCCTGAAGTCTTCCGGCAATGTATGTAACACAGTAATGTCTCACTGATGACCAGTTTTAATAACAAGAAGATTAACACGCGGGGACTGGTTGACGCGTGGGGACAGGTAGACGCGTGGAGACAGGTAGACGCGTGGGGACAGGTGACGTGTGTGCACAGATGACATGTGAGGACAGGTTGACGCGCGGGGACAGGTTGATGCGCGGGGACAGGTGACGTGTGTGCACAGATGACATGTGGGGACAGGGTTGACGCGTGGGGACAAGTTGACGCGTGGGGACAGGTGACGTGTGTGCACAGATGACGTGTGAGGACAGGTGACGCGTGAGGACAGGTGACGTGTGTGCACAGATGACATGTGGGGACAGGGTTGACGCGTGGGGACAAGTTGACGCGTGGGGACAGGTGACGTGTGTGCACAGATGACATGTGGGGACAGGGTAGACGCGTGGGGACAGGTTGACGCGTGTGCACAGAGGACAGGTTGACGCGCGTGGGGACAGGTGACGTGTGTGCACAGATGACATGTGAGGACAGGTGACGCGCGGGGACAGGTGATGCGTGTGCACAGATGACATGTGGGGACAGGTTGACGCGCGTGGGGACAGGTTACGTGTGTGCACAGATGACGTGTGAGGACAGGTGATGCGTGTGCACAGATGACATGTGGGGACAGGTTGACGCGCGGGGACAGGTGACATCGGTGTTCTGGAGAAAATGGAAACATTGTCAGCGGGACCGATCTGCAACACTGAAGATGTTTCCTCGCTCTTCGCTACAATGAGTGTCGGGAACACATCCCGGAATTTACACGCACATGGGCAGCTCGGAACTTTCTTCATCACCTGAACATGAGGAAGACATTTCATGAGCGGCGGAACATCTTCAGTGATCCAGAACAATGTGACATCACCGTCATGAGGAAATGTCTGGTGGGCTGGTATCGGGATGGTTGTGGTCCTCAAGTAACCCCCTCGTACTCTCCCCTACACCTGGTATGCCGGGATGGTATTGTTGGGGCATTTTTAAATGTAGCAAAAAAAAAAAGCAAATCGCACATAATGTATAAAGATTCCCACGGCATTCCCACCACTAGAGGTAGCCGAGGAGCGTCGGAAACTCTGGTGCTCTTCAGCTCCATCTAGTGGCGGGAATTTCATGCGAACGGCATTCACTCAGCTGTATACTGGATGGAATGTTTATACATCAACCCCTTAAAAGTTTCAATTTTTTTTAACTGTTTCTTTATTATTTTAAACTTTTTTTATCACTTTTTATTTTAATTATTTCTTCTTATTTTTTTAATTTTTATTTAATTTTTTTTTAGATTTCTATTTATCTTATTTACTTTTTTATAATTTTTAAATCTTATTGTTTTATTTTTTATCATTATTTTCTTATTTTTTAATAATTTTTTACTTTTTAATCACCTTTTTATTTTTTATTTCATTATTTCATTTTTTTTTTTATAGTATCCGGCTGAATCCTGTGGATACAGCCGGATACGCGCGTTATTACGCCCCAAAGAAGCTCCTGTACTTCTTTGGGCGTATGGCGTTTTGCCGCGCGATCCTACGCGAACCATGCCCATAGGCAAACATGGGTGTTCACCTGTTGCGCGTTTTCGCGCGGTAAAACGCTCAGGTGTGAACCGGGCCTAAAGGAAAACAATTTTTGGTGAATGTACCCCAAAAAGTCAGGTTTAAACAAAGCCCAACCTGCCCGAATAACCCCCCGCAGCTTAAACTGAGGGGGGGGGGGGGGGGGGGGGGGGGGGGGGGGGGGGGGGGGGGGGGGGGGGGGGGGGGGGGGGGGGGGGGGGGGGGGGGGGGGGGGG